CTTAAGTGGAGAGGAAATGTTTTGAGAATGATGAGGGCAATGAATGTACAAATGCTCTTTACACAATTGATGTATGTATGGTTTGTGTTAAGAGTTGTATGAGCCCCTAATAAAATGATTTTTAAAAAAAAGCAAGGCCTCAGTTGCTCCCCTTGTCCTTATTTTTGAAAAATAATTGATCTTTCCTATTGCAAAGGAATTAATGGCAAGCAAGATAGCTTTCATTTTATATATTTCCTTAGAAGTAAAATTATTGCTATGTATAGTAATTTTGGTCTCCTTACTCTAGGGATTTATAGAACTTTAAGTTCTGTAGAGCTCTTTGTTATTTATTCAAATAATTTTATTTTAAAAGTGGCTTTTACATATATACGTCTTCTTTTGAATTCATTGACTGACTGTTGACCTTTCTGTGCTGTTGTGTCGTTAGCTGTTGTCCAGTGCACTGTGGCTCTGGGTGACCCCATCCATGCCCAACATGATCAGGCTGTTGTGATCCATAGGGCTTTTCATTGACTGGTTTTGGGGCAGTAGATTGCCAGACCTCCCTGGACTGTCTTAGTCTGAAAGCGCTACTGAAACCTCTTCTGCATCATAGCAGTCCACAAGCCTCCACAGATGGAGAGGCGGTGGTAGTGGCACTTGAGGTGCGTTGGCTAAGATTCAACCCAGCTAGGTCTCCTCCTGGGAAGGTGAGAAAGCCACCACTGGATGGACTGCCACTGTCCCTCCCCCCACTTTTATATGCAGGTTTTGAAAAAAATATGCTATTTGATATGAGTGAAATTGTAATTCAGTAGCTCAAGTTTTGTTAGCATTTGTACCCCAGTAATATGGTTAACACATTTTTTAAACAAAAAATACTCTTTCTATCTTTTTAAAATGCAGGCTCTGCTGGTTCTTCATCAACTAGATAGTATTGATTTGTGGAATCCTGATGCTCCTGTGGAAACATTTTGGGAAATTAGGTATATGTAATTTTATTTTATTAATTATAAAAATTACTTTGCCTTTTATTTTTTGTCTTTAAATATTAGCTAAAGGTTGGTATGTTAATTCATTGTAAAACCAATCATACCTCCGAAAATTTCAGGATTTTGTATTTTATTTGACTTGAAATTATTTAATGGAGTATTTCTCTTGTTTTAGCTAGAAAAATAACAGCACAGTAGTGTAGAAAATAAAGTTTTTAACCATAAGTACTATCATTTGGTGTATTCTTTTCTATTGTAGATTTCTGACTAACTGCAATTGTTTTTTTAAAACACATTTTTTGCAGTTAAAAGTATAGGTTAAAATATGTTAATTTTAATAATACGTTTTAAAAATCACAATCTTTTATTCATTTTTATAATGCTCGATTTTTTGTAGATAAATTAATAATGAATATCTACTTAGAAGGAAAAAATATAGGCGGAATGTTATGAACCATTTCTTAGGTTATGTTGGTTATTTCCTTGAGAGGACCACAGGGGCAGTACTTTGAGGAAAATGTAAGTTTGGAAGTAACCAGTTTGTCTTTACCCTGTAGAAATGGGTGCACTATGTCCCTTGGCAGTAGAGTGAAATCTTAGACTCTGGGGTAGGGCACCCAGGAGTAATGTGAGCCACATTTGTAACTCAGAATTTTCTAGTTGCCACATTGAAAAGAAACAGGTGAAATTAAGGTTTTTCATTACTTACCCCAATTTTACTTAATATAATATATTCTAAAGTGTTGTTTTAATGTACAATCAATAGAAGTTATTAAGGACATCTTTCACATTGTTTCTTTTTAAGTCATCAAAATTTGGTGTGTATTTCATAGTTTTAATGTGGGTTTGCCACAGAGTACCATATGCTACGTATGACTCATGACTGCAGTGTTGTATCGCATCGCACTTGAGCAAGGGTCAGCAAACCTTTTCTTTATAAAGTCAGATGGTAAAATTTTTAGGCCTTGTAAACCTTAGTCTCTGTTGCACTATTCAGTTCTACTGGTGGCACATGAAAGCAACCATAGAAGAAAATATGTGAATGAATTCATATGTCACTGTTTCAATAAAACTTTATTTACAAATTTTCATGGTCAATTGGGCTGGGGGTGATAGCTTGCCCACCCCTGCGTTACAGCACTGATTGAGCATATGTCCAATCTAGGCTGTGTAAACGGTTTGTCATTTTTTTCCTTAGCACACCACACGGCTGGGCTATAGAAATGTAGTATTGGGGATTTGGGGAGTAGATGTAGAAGTGCTTGTTATTTTTCCAAAACCTACAGTCTTATTTCCTGTGATGCTGCTGCTGTTAACACTTTGATAACTTTTTATGAAATACATCATAGAAACAAAACAAGCTTTTCCTAAACTTGTATCTATTATAAGAGAATACTATTCTTACATACTTACATGCTTATATATCTGTATTACATTATTTATCAACAGTGCTAGTAACAATGAACTTTATGTTACTGCAGCTCACAAATGCTCTTTTACATCTGCAAGAAATTAACTAGCCACCAAATGCTTAGCAGCACAGAAATTCTCAAATGGCTACGGGAAATTTTGATCTGCAGGAATAAATTTCTTCTTAAAAACAAGGTAAGCAAAATGGCATCTTTAAGAATGGAAAATATTTAGAATGATTAAAGGTAGAGATTTAGGTAGTACTTATTAACTCGGTTAGCTCTTATTCCAGCGTCTCACTCCTACAAGATCCTTAGGAACTTTGGCTGACAAGTCAGTATTTAGAAATTCATTCTGAGGTTTGGCTCCAAAGCCCCAGCGTTGATAAACGTGAGTGAGTGAAGCTGGGCTCTCTGAGGCAGGCGCAGGAGAAAGGGGGACAGCTACCATGATCGTAGGTTGGGAAGTCCTCAGTCTAGGTTGGTTTCTATTTCTCCCACAAAGGTATTCTGCTTTTTGCCAGTATCTGGAGTACCTTCCTTAAGATGTGGTGACATGTCTTGACCTTGAATTATTGAAACATAAGAAGCTTATGGGGGAGAAGGAAGAGCTTTACATTTCTTTAAACATAACGCTTCTAGAAATCAATCAGAAAGTTTTTCTTCTATTCCTGGCATAGTGTTAAAAGTAGGTTTTTTAAATGTTTTTTTTCCAGTTCTGTAATCAATAGCTACAAGAAACTTTCAATGTACCAAATTCACATGATTTTCAGTGAACCATATAATACACTTCTTTGATTAGAAGTGGACTATTGATAAAGTGGGTGTATTCACAGATGGATTATTTAATGACAAACTAGAATTTGTCACTACTTCAAAGAGAAGGAAAGAGATAAAACCTTGTAGTTTATTCTCTGACGTTTTAATTTTCCAGGGCCCAAGCATTAACAATCCAGTAATCAATCTGTAGTGCTTTCATCAGCAAAGTCACTCTTATGGTATGCTTGGCCTACATACTAGGTTTAATTACCGGACCAGAAGAATTTAATCTCAATGCAGTAACTTCCAATTATCTTGACATAGAAGGGAACACAGAATCCAAATGGAAGAGAAGCGTTGTCATCCGGAACTGATTGTGGGGAGTGTATTATATTGTTCATAGAGTGTATTCATGTTAAGGTGCCCTGGTGACCCAGTGGGTTAAAACTTGGGCTGCTGCAAGAGGAGCAAAGCAACGCAAGAGGAATCCCAAAAATAGACTTCACAATTGGTGGGCGGATCTGATTGGAAAACATTCAGAAGGGTCAGCAGACAAACCTATAACTCTTTATTGGCTTTCTTCTTTTTCTCAAGTCTATCCATATAAGATAGGCAGGATAACCAATCCTGAGGAGAAAGTAATGGGCCGACGGCTCTGGCGGGGGACATGGGAGAGGAGGAGGTGGAAGAAAGGGAGAGGGGAGCCAACAAATGCAGGGACAAGGGAGCAATAAGATCTAAAATCGATGGCAAGGAGAGGCTAGAATGCCTGACGGGGTTTGATCAAGTCCAGTGTCACCGAGAGAAAGGACTGAGTTGAATGAAGCTTGAACATGATGGTGGGACAGGAGGAAAGTAAAAAGAAATAGAGGAAAGAACTAGGAGGCAAAAGATATTTATAGAAGTATAAATATAGGTGTGCACATATGTAAATATATTAATATATACCGATAGGGGTATAGGTCTGTACATATATTTAAATGTTCAGTAATAAGGTAGATGGGCATGGGGTCTCTAAAGTACTCCCTCAACTCAGGAACACGTTGTTCTAATGACGTGGCATTCTGTGATGTTTGTCTTCCCAAAACGATCACTGAATTCAAAATGGGTGCATACGCAAATGTGGTGAAGAAAGCTGATGGTGCCCAGATATTAAAAGATAGAGCGTCTGGGGTCTCAAAGGCTTAGTGTTGAACAAGGAGCCATCTGCAGGCAAGCAAACAAAGCCCACACAGAAGAAGCACATCAGCCTGTGTGATCACGAGGTGACGACGGGTTCAGGTATCCGGCATTAGAAGGCCCAAGGGCTCAAGCAGAAAGAAAATGTTACAAAACTGATGATGGCAACATATGTACAAATGTGTTTGATAAAATTGATGCATGGAATGTTATAAGAGCTTTAAGAGCCCCAATAAAATGATTTATTAAAAAACAACAACAAAGCCTAAGGCTGCTAACAGCAAGTTCGGCAGTTTAAACCCACCAGTCTTTAGTTGGAGAAAGTTAAGAGTGTCTGTCTCCTTAAAGATGGATTGTCTCAGAAGTCCTAATGGAGCAGTTCTGCTTTGTGCTGTAGGGTTGCTATGAGTCAGAAACGACTTAGTGGCCGTGAGTTTAGCTTTTTGGTTGGTTAAGATTTATGTTGTTTGTGTTTTCCTTGTGTCCATGCCTGCTACTTCTGGTGCTTTGGAAGATGGAAAGTTGAGAAGTGTTTCAAAGATATTAAACAAACGTTTCCCATAGTGGGTTTCTAGTGACTGTTCCTCAAGGTTGGGGGTGGGTAGTGGAGATGGACAAGTTGAAAGAAGAGATTTTCCGGGATAATCTCAAATAGGAGGGTGCCTCTTAGAAGTATGTATTTTCCTGGTAGGCTGTGCTTCAGTGGAGCTCACTCACTTGCTTCTTTCTAGCAGGCAGATAGAAGCTCCTGTCACTTTCTCTACCTTTATGGGGTAGGATGCGATGTTTCTTCTAGTGGAAATGCCAGCCAAATGTCCATGGATCACGAGGAATTACTGCGTGCCTGTACTCCTGGAGCTTCTCTCCGGAAGGGAAAAGGAAACTCATCCATGGTAAGTAGCAGTCGTGGTCGTTTTCTTGTCTCATCATCTGCGTTCTCTCTCTCTCTCTGAATGAACTTTGGTAAGTTTCAGGGAGGTAATATAAGGTCGTTAAGACCTGCTTAGAAGTCACTGTTCTCTATGGAACTTCCAACAAGTGCTGTAGCGTCTCTGTGCCCCACCGTCTTCAGTGTGAATAACTCCTGCCCCAGAGTTGTGTGAGGACCAAATGAGATCATGTGGAAGTAGCACTTGACCATTTGATACTACTTAGAAACTATAGCTGATAACCATAATTATTATAAATCTTCACCCAAGATCAAAGATCATTCACACTTCAGGAGTTTTAGGAGTTGTACCAGTTAATAAGGGTACACATGTATTGGGAGAAAAACCAGATATTTTGCTCGATGTTGTGTAGTTAAGCGGTTCTTATTTGTACATATAATTGCTTTAAAAAATAAATCTACAAATGAATATTAAATTATTATAGAAGTATTTCTTTTTCAGACCAATTTCCCCCCTACCTTTTAGTATACCTTTCTGTTGAGAACAAAACAAGAACTGAAAAGTATGTTATTCACTATTGCCCGCTTTGCCTGTAGAGTTTGATTTGTTTTATAAATGAAGAGTTATTGAGTTTATTCCTATAGAACTTCGTTCCTGTATGTTCTCTCATTAAGCAGTGCTTCAGTGTAATTCTTTGCTCCACCAGCTAGAGAGATGGTCTTGGGATTTAGGATGGATGAGAATGTACTTTTTATTTTTTTGCAGTAGATAAGATACATGCTGATGTTTACTCGTGTCCATGTTGGTTTTAACTTACATTTCTGGAATCCTAAGGATGATACATATTCTGTTTGAAATTAGATCGTAGCATTGTGTTAGTTCAGATTACTCTTTCACACAAGACATTTTGAGGGTTTAAAATTCCTTTCATACCTAGAAATGTTCTTGTGGGTTGCTGTGTGAGGGTGTATAGATATATACAATTTAACAGATTGTTGGTTTCTATAAATAAAATGATCCAAGTTGAAAAATATATGCCTCTCACGCCTCGACTCCCAGGATAGTGCTGCAGGGTGCAGCGGAACCCCACCAATATGCCGGCAAGCCCAGACCAAACTTGAAGTGGCCCTGTACATGTTTCTGTGGAGCCCTGACACGGAAGCGGTTTTGGTGGCCATGTCCTGTTTCTGCCACCTCTGTGAGGAAGCAGATATCCGGTGTGGGGTAGATGAAGTCTCAGTGCACAACTTTCTACCCAACTACAACACATTCATGGAGTTTGCCTCTGTCAGCAATATGATGTCAACAGGTAAATATGGATAATGGTGTCTTCCTTCAGTCTGCCTCAAATCACACATCCTTAATTGTGCTAGTACGATAGGCCAGGCATTCTGCATCTGAAAGGCCGCACAGCCATTGAAAACCCTGTTGTATTAGTCTAGGTATTTTGGAGAAACAAATCCACAGCAACTCATATATAAGAGAGAGTTTTATGTAAAGAAAAGGTGCATCACGAAAACATCCCAACCCAATGCTGCCCAAG